TGGTTTTCACCACCCTGAACAATTTTGTATCATCCGCAAATTTAGCCACTTCACTGCTTACTCCCAACTCCAAATCATTAATGAACAAGTTAAAAAGCAATGGACCAAGTACTGATCCCTGCGGTATCCCACTGCTTACCACCCTCCACTGAGAAAATTGCCCATTTATACTCACTCTCTGTTTTCTATTAATTAGCCAGTTTTTGATCCATAAAAGGACTTCTCCTTTTATCCCATGATTTTTGAGCTTACTTAGGAGCCTTTGATGAGGAACTTTATCAAAAGCTTTCTGGAAATCACGGTAAACAATATCTATTGGATACCCCTTGTCCACAGGTTTGTTCACCCCCTCAAAGAACACTAACAGGTTAGTGAGACAAGATCTTCCCTTACAGAACCCATGCTGAGTCTGCCTCAATAGGTTTTGTTCATCTATGTGCCTACTAATTCTTTCCTTAATAATGGTTTCCACCAATTTACCCGGTATCGACGTCAGACTGACTGGCCTGTAATTTCCCGGATCTCCTCTGGAACCCCTTTTAAAGATGGGAGTGATTTTAAGGAAATATTACATATTTTTGTCAGGAGAGCCACAAGTTCACATTTGAGTTCTTTCAGAACTCTCGGATGTATACCATCTGGGCATACAAAAAAGGGTTAATTTGGTAGAAGCCAAGATTACTCTGCTGTCCGAAACATGTTTAGGTGCACATTTACAGTTCTGTGACCCTGGGCAGGCTACAAAAGGCTAGCAAGTACCATCAATTTCCTTTTGCGAATTCAAAAATGAGTGACCTCCAAATGAAAATTGGTATGTTTTTGTGATGCTGTAGCATGCAGCACTGCCTTGAAAATGTTATGGTCACTTGTTAAATTCCATGTTACAACAGTGTAAATAGACGGTTTTAGCTGGCCTCACACAAAATGTTGCATACAAGCATCAGTTCAGTTCATGTTGAACCGTACTTATAATCCGTCTGCTTGCGATCTAAAAGTAGGAGATGCTAAACACTTTGTGGGATTACTTTTTTAAAAATTACCTATCAAAAGAGCATTTTAGTGATGAGACAACTGTCCAGTACCTTCAGCAAGTCTTGTTTGCCTTTTGTGACACTTTAACATTCAGTATGTATTCTCAGAAATTCTGAGAATTCATTGTGCTTCCCCTGGTAGTACTGGAAGTTCTCTTTTAGTGACTGTGGTGGTGTTATTCATGAAAGAGGCATTCTGGAAAAGAAACTACTACACACGCTGAGTGTTTTGGGCTGGGCTGGATGCTTCCTTCACTTGGAGAGGGAAAGTGGAAGATGAAGAATTCTTCACTCTTCTGTGGTTCAGACTTTTTCCTATGAAGAAATGTGAACTTGGGCTCCTGGGAGAAATGCAAGATTGGAGTCCAGCAGCACCTTAAAGACCAACACGATTTCCAGGCTATCAGCTTCCCAGAGTCAAAGCTCCGTTTGCCAGATGCAGGCATCTGACTCTTGGAAGTATTTGACTCTCAGAAGCCCGTTCCCTGGGAATCTTGTTGGTCTTCAAGGTGCTGCCGGACTCGGATCTTGCTGTCCGGCATGAAAGGGGGCTACAAGGAGAGGTCCTGCTGTCTCCTGCTTTCTGACTCCACAAAGTCCACCCCTGCTCTGTACCCCGCCAACATGTATTGGGATGCTGTGGGTTTAAAAGCTGGCACCTTGAGTAGGAACGCTTGAATAGGAATAGCATGATTAAATGTTTTGGTTGTGCAGTTAATTTAATACGGGTCCCTCACTTAGATATTTACTCATTTTGTAATTTGAACTGAAGGCCTTGTTTATATATTTTACAGGGCAGATCCTTTGTCCAATCTTGTTCTTTCCTTTGCTACAAAAGAAGACGCTATTGCCTTTGCTGAAAAAAATGGTACGTACAACAGCGGCTTGTACCAGCTGCTGCCACTGAACACCACTAAATGGGAAGGGTGACCTGACCCTCTTATCGGCGGGTGTGTCCAGCACAGTTGCACTGAGGCTGTTTCAGCACCATACGGCTTCCGACCGGGTACCGGCACTCTGCACAGGCGACTGACCTCAGCCCTCTTCCTGCGTCCTGCTGCTCACGCAGTAGCCTCACACCTTCATGGAGCTGAACTAGCAGCTTCCGTGCTTCTGCCACCTCAAGAGACCTTCCAGAAGGGCCCTTGTTCAGTGGCTGAAGCTTGTTACCTGCCAGCTGCCAGCTCTATGTTTTATGTAAGAGTATCAGCCTTAGGAGGTGGGACAAGGCACAGTAATGAGACTAAAGACTTGCGAATACATGTTCCTTGAGCGCCTACCCTTTAAAGTAAGGTTCTGAGAAAATGCCAGATGTTTCTCCCTTGTGGGCAGATGAAGAGAGCAGTTCTTCTGTTTCCCCTCTTTGTCTGTGACCCTTGCTCCCCTGCCTCACTGAGAAATTTGTCCCTTGTACTGTGTGCAACAAACTTCCCAGGCAAGCCTCTCTGTATATGTAGCCAGCCTGGAATGCCTGGCTCGGAAGCTGCGTTGTGCTGCGGTTTCTGTCTTCCCAGACCACTTCTTCCCCAGTGAGTAGGGTTGACCATCGTTGGCCAGAGGGCTGGGTCACACCGTTGAGCAACTCAGCTGCCACAGCCAGAAGCCCATCTATTAAGCGTCCCATTCCGGTTCCATACTTTGTGGTTACTACCGGGAACACTTACGATGTGTGGAGGGCTTGTCGTGCAATAACCTCCTTTGTGTAGTGCTGTGTAACCTGGGGTAACTTGGTTATCCTCTCTCATCAGACACGAAGGAACGTGGTTTATTTTACAGAGACCACAAGGCTTATATAAAAAATTGTGTTTAGAAAAATCTGTTGAGATGTAAACTTTCCTACAGAGTCAGAGGATAATATTTTAAGAGCAGCTTGGCTCAGATCCTGTACCTCCGCTGCAGTAAGCTGGCATGGTTTGAAGTCGGTGGCACATTAGCATCCAAGCATACATCCTGGTGACTTTGTATATCAGGAGGGAGACACTCTGCTACAGAGCATACTTACTCAAAAGCAAAATCTACTGAACTCGGTGAAATTTACATTCGGGGGGGGGAATTAATGCTGGGGATCCATGCGGCCCCCTCTGTTAATGTACGATCAAAAGTAGTTTGGTGCTCTTTCTGGGAGACTCTGAAGGCATTACTCCAGTTGCATCACAATGATATCTGTTTATTCAGGGCTAAAAATGTTTTAACTAGCAGCCTTCCCGGCTGAACCGAAGCCCGTTCTGAGTCTGTCATTCTCAGCATCTCAGTCTGAGCCATTTCGAAGAGGAGGATTTCTCCTGACTATGCAGCAGGCTCTTAAGTGTTGGCATAAAAATCTCTGCCCTTTTATTTTGTTTCCTACAAATATTTGACAAGGAGCTTCAGCACTCGCCGAAGTGACGGACCCAGAGGCTTGGCCCAGAGCCCAGCCTAAGTGTGGGTGAGGTACGAGTTCCCCCATCTGCCTGTGCCAGGGCACCTTTATCTTGGCCCACGGAGCCTCGCTCATTCCATGACTCTTCCTCCTGAGCGCAGACACTGCCAGGCAGATTGGACGATGCCAAATTATGTGGTAGTTTATGTGCTAGTTTATAACACTCCAGGAACAAGGGGCCGTTAAACTCATTTTCACTCACAAACTCTGGAGTCAAAAGTTGAACTTGTCTCCAGGGGAATGAAGGCAAGAGTGTGGAACCCAGGCCTGTCTAATATCTTCCTGCTTTAGTGTGTGTGTGTGTGTTTTAATTTAAGGCTGAACTTTCTTCACGCTGGTTCCTGGTCACGAATTCCGTTGGAGGTATTTTGTAAAAGGTATCTCCTTACGCTGAAAATTACAGCACCTTTGTGCTAGCAGGGCTTGACCTCCTCATGTGCGTATAGAGGTCCACTGTGAACAGCCCTTTGGGATTCATGGGTTCCCCTGCGGAAGTGGAACTTATGACTGCTTAGGGAGCAATGGGGCTCGCGTTGAGTCATATCGTGACAATCTTGAGGTAGCCCAAGGTGTAACGGGGGGCTGGTGTACACCCCTTTCTGGTGCCTGGAAAAGTAGTTGCTCCTTAAACTATAGAAAAGCCATCATCTGGGCCCAGTTCCAAAGAAGCTACGGATTTATGAAAGGACTGTGATATTTTTTCACATTTGGATTTGGTAAATCACCATCACTCCTGTTCAGTCTGCTGTGGAGCAAGGTAGGTGAAATTGAGAAGAAGCTATTTACTCAGCTGACCAGATACTAAATTTTCTCATGTTTATTTGACTTTCCTCTGGTATTGCATGGCATGGCTTAGTCATCTGGTGCTATTTATTCTGTCCTCTAACCTCAAGTGCATAGTTGATCCGGGGGAGGGGGGGGTGTCAACTCAATTGACAGATGGGCACGAGATAGACAGTTATATTTTGGAAGACCCATTTTGTATAAAGAACTAGCCACTTTTGGTTTAAAAAATGTAGAGAATACTTCTGCATTCATCTTAAGATGTAGCTAACCTGTTCATACCAATGATATAAAGGAACATCAGTGAAGGCCTTGGCTGTGTTGGCACCTCCAGCATAACTGTTTGGCTGATGGACTAGGCAGACCACTGAACAGGTCCAGCTGGGCTCTTCTCAAGGACTTGTGTCTGTTGCCCAACAAACTGTAATTTCTTGGTGGGTGCTAAGCTGGGATTCTAAACTACGGGTTGTACCTGTCTTGCTAACTGCAGTTTATTATGCAGAAATCTGTAGCTCCATCTGTCCTAGCCTCCTGCATACAGAGAAGGAAGCAAAAGCCAACAGAAAATATTGCTACAGTAGCTGTATTCAGTTTTTCTAAGGGCACTCCCTTCAATCCTCTGCCTTTTCTCCAGTTCCCTCTTTCCCCACTGTGAAGGCTAATGGTGCAATAGCCTGGCAATAGTTAGCCCAGAGAGAAGAGAAGGGAGCTTGGGCTTGCCTTCTCCTAATCTGCACCTCTCCATTGTTCTTCTGCGTACAGCCCCTGACCATTAGCAAGTAGTCTGCCTATATGTAAGGCTGTGACGACCACCTGGCGATGCGAAGGAACTTGGGCTAGCAATTGGGGATTCTGCTTGGAGGCAGGAAAAAAGACAAGCCGCAAAGAGCCTGGTCTGTTACATAAGCCTGGTAGACTAACTAAAGTTTATGTAACAAACTGGCTTAAGACCACAACCTTTTCTGACTTATTACTGCAGCCGTACAACTTTTAAGCGATTATTGTTGGGGTCAGTAAATTTATTCAACTTTTTAATTTGTCCCGATGAAAATTCACCTTTAGTAAAGGTTCAGAGACTGGATAAAGTATTAATGGTAAAGGCATGATCCAGCCCCCATGCTGCAACTTCTTCACATCCCTCCTACGTGTGCTGCTCCATTTTCTGATGTCCCATTCAATCTGGTGAAGAATGGTGTGTGTGTGTGTGTGTGTGTGTGTGTGTGTGTGTGTGTGTGTGTGTGTGTGTGTGTGAAAGACAGAGACTGTTTTTGTCCCCTAATTA